GAAATGGCTTTGATTAAAGGCATACATTTTGTGAAATTATTATAGTAGATATTTATTATGTCGTTGACAGTTTAAATATATATATATAGGTCTCTGTTGAGTGTGAGATAAAAACGTACAAAGAAGTATCAAATAATGTTCAAAGTTAGGTTTGGTTTTTGTGAAATTATTTTAAACACAATAAAAATGAAAACAATTACAAATGTTTAATGTGATTGAAAATATACAAGTGGATGATGATATTTGATTGTTATGTGAATTATATGCAGTATTTTTTATAATTGAACTAGTTACAAAACACACATACACACACACACACACACACATTTATACATTAAAATTGAATATTGTAAAGTCATATTTGTTATCACAGTTTTTGCTTCGTTTGTTACCCACAGTATAACATGTACTGTAAACAATGCGTAAGATATTCGTTGTAGTTAAAATAAATATTTCATTTTATACACCTCACGCGCAATTGTATATTGTAACGATGTAAAATATGCACATATAACACTATAATTTAGTGAACGTTCTCAGAGTTATTGTTATCGATCATTTCTACAATACACAGTGTATGTGTGTAAGGGACTTAAATTCGTTTTATCGCGCGCTTCGACTATTTTTCATCTTAAATTTAACCCCGTATATTTTCATTGCTGTTTTTAACATGCATTGGCAGTCGATTATAAAACTATGGTCACATACATACACACTTTGTGTGAAACTATAATATGCGTTTCGCACACATAGGTTTTTAACGACCAAGCGACAAATTTTATTCGAAAATGTAGGTTACGTTTAATTTACTAAAACCATTCCCACATTTTATTCTTTATTCGTAATACAAATTTTAAATTCTAGATTTAAAATGGCAAAAAATATCCGTACTAACTTTAATATAATATGGAATTCAATATTTATAGTTAAAGTTCCGATTTAAGAATTATGTATAAGTTAAAAAATATGTTTTTGGCACATTTGATACCTGTGTATTATTGAAAGTAATTGGATATGGTACGTTCGGTATTTATGAAAAAATCAATAACTCTACTAAAATTGGATCAATTACAAATTACTTACTTAAGTATAAGTATGATAAAAATCTTAATGAATAATTATTTTTATTTGCATACATTTTTTAGTGTTTTGTGAGAATTAATAAAGTATAAATCCTCAAAAATCGTCACAATTATGTTTCCATGAGATTGTAAACTATAAATTATTGATATAATGTGAATATGAAATCAAATATTGAAAAATAGTTATAGATCACATAAATATTACACTCAAGTATTAAAGATTTTTTTAGTTCAATTCAATCGTCGTTACATTGTGTTAAATTGTTTACAAAAAATTTGGTTAAAAGTAGATTTTTTTTCAAATACAGTTGACTGAAAATTTGTAACTAAAAACGATTAATACTTAATTATTATAATTTACATTAGACAAAAAAATAAAAAAATGTTATTTTTTTTCATTTATGTTATTACAAATGCTAAAATAGAGCCTACAGTGAGATTAGATTTAGATTTATTTTGTGATTCCCCAAAATGATATATCATAATAATTCATCAAATAAAAGCGTTACAAATGATATATATTAGCTGAATTGGAGAATTTATATAAAATAAAAGTATATAGTAATTAATTCACCCTCATAAATTGTATGTAAAGAACGGGCTCGATCGTAACTTTATAAAATAAACTGAAAAAAAAAATGTGAACGAGGAGAAAATGTTATTTGAATATGAATTTGCAACCCATGCGTAGTAAATAAATTATTATATTTAAATGTCAATGGTTATTACTAACCCGTATTAATAGGTATGTTTTGAGTATATATTTATGCGTAAGCGAAAATTCCACTTACCGTGGTATATAGTTACACTGATACACAATAATGTTTTATTGCTTTCGTTGACAAGGCAAAAATATGCATTTGATTAGTGGGAGAGCTTATTTATTTTTGCAGATAAAAAAATTCATTCATTTTATACATACCGATATTTTTGATCAATAGCAATATGATTTTTGTAACAAAATGTTCGTGTCAAGGACATGACGGATACAATATAAATGTTCAGAAGAATTTTCGAAACATACATCACATTATCATTACAGTTGAGCTCGTATTGTGATTAAAGTACGTCAGAAATCAGCAAAAATTTTTTAACATACAAAGGTTCATATAACAAAGTATTTCCCGGAAAAAAGACGTTCGTTTATGCTACATACTAACTATTTACATTATTACCTATGAATACGGTGTATTTTGTAAATATTTTTGTTTGTTTCTTAAAAAAATTGAAAAAAAGAAATAGGTTTAAATTAAAAATAAATACTTTCAATGTATTCTATGCATTTAGTTTTAATTTTATTCTTACCAGAATCTCATATTTAACGCTGATTTGTGTCCACCGACCAACGACTACTCAGTCATGCAAGCAAATATTTTGTGCACAAAAAACAATTTTTTTATTCGAATGTTATTTAAAAATATAATTAACTGAAATTATTAAATTCACCTGAAATCGATGGCAATAGTACAATTCTCATACCACAAACCAAATATAAATAAAAGCATATTTATTCATATATAAAAATAAAATAAATTATAATCCAATCAAACTTAAGCACGAATGCTTTATTTTTATCAATAATCATATTATTTTATTATGTTGAATTTATAGTGGAAGTCGATTCTGTTTTGGACTTTAAAATAATTTCAGGGGCCTTCTAATTTTATTTGTTCTTGGTTAATGACATTTTAAAAATTATCTTAACTATGTGCAAATACAATAACAACAAAAAACATGTCTCTTTAATGCAAAACATGTAATAGTTTTTAGGAGAAATAAAGCTTAAATATGTGTAATTAGTTGGAACTGCAGTTTTTCAAAAATTTATTAGTATTAGGAATTACTAATTCCTATAATTCAGTAAAGAGTTTATAAAATAATATCTGTGTATAATTAGTGTAACTCCAAACATATTGAACAAGTGATGTGAAAGATCTATGATAATTGATGTTTCAGCGAATTTTTATATACAATATATATATTATATAAAAACAATTTTTTCTATAAGTTATAATTTTATCAAAAAAACGAGTTTAATAAGAACGCAAGTTCAACTTTAATTTATTTTGTTTAAATGGTTTAATGAATAAATTAGTTACTCAAATTATGCATGATCTTAGCTATATAGATTTGTTGTTTTATCTATTTTATTGAATACTAGTAAACATCTAAAACCGTGATTCTGCGTTATCGTTTACAATAACCTATGTTATACGAATAAAGTATTTTAATCGAAAATTAATAGTTTCTATGGAGTATTTATATTTTCAAATCATTATATAATGTACCTTAATATTCTCTCATTGCATCCAGTATTAAGCTTAAGAATTAATATGAAACAAAACGTAAGTATAATAGTTATTTATTTTTGTATATCAACATACAACCTTAATAGGTGGCAAATACGTAGAGTAGAAAAATAATCATATGTTATTATGTATATTCTTGAAGAAGTAGGTGGAATATTGAACAAATATCGAAGCATACATAATGTTATGAAGCATATGCTAAAAGTTTTAGTTAGAATCAAATATATGGATTCAATGAGTATGTGGTATTTTAAAATCATTTTGAATATCATTATTAAAAGAGAATTTAAGAAAGAAGTACGGAAACGTACATTATTCTATGAAATGCAGTCATTAAATAAATAAATTATAATTTACAATTATGATGGAACTGTTTAAAGTCATTGTGTGAAAATAATGTAAGCAAAAATTTTAATTTTGTAGAATATAAACCAACTTGAATTTATCAAATATGTTATATAGTGTATAGCTGAAACATGAGACTATTTCATAAATTTATATTAATAACAGTTAACTATATTAATTTTTAGAAGCACTTCAAATCTTTTTTCGTCCGAATAATAGCATTGTGTTCTACAGTATTTAAATTTGTCTTAATTTTAATTTTAGACCGATGATTATTATACAAATAAATTAAACATCTATATGATATTAATATAAATCCATTACTTAAAACTTAGATCGAGTTTTCCCTTTTCTCATATACAGATTCTTGTCGTAAAAATTAACCGAAACACCACACCGTAGTAGACAATGTATAATTGATTTAAATATGCTAACTGTAAATATCACTTGATCATTAAATGCTAATTTAATAACATCTTTTGAAATGGTAAATTATTAATTGCACAACGCTCAAACAGAATTATAAACGTATAATATACTTACTACAATATAATATTGTACATTAGGATAAATACATTTAACAATATAATTATATTTATTATTATACTAAAGAGTATTTTGTGTCAAACAATGTCATGTTGGCAACAATTCATTATACCTATTGTATTATCAATAATTAGTATTATTTCTTCACACATTAAATCAACTTTGGCAATGATGATTTTTTTGTATTACATCGTTACTGCGTCTAAAAAGGTATCGAATATTTTTTATGGATTTCACAGATGCATTCTCGAAAAAGTTTAAAAAAATCAGGAAATGCGATTCCGGCCGTGGAACTGGCTTCGACTATCAATAAATTTAATTAACTTTTGCCTCTACAATGTAAAAAAAAAAAAAACTATTCGACACAGAATGTAATAGAAATTAAAAAGTGAGGAAGAGTTTTTACCACGATACCGTATAACCTGGTACATAGCGTATAAGATACACAGTAGATACAGAACGTGATTGTAATCAGATGTATTAAACACGTGTTTGGGATAACGAAATAATGTTGTTGTGCAAAAGTTTGAACGAATCGCGTTATATCCGAATCGAATCGGCACCGGTGTCCACCGTTGGTTTTCAACGAGTACAGTTAATCAACGAATTGTCGTTTTACATTATCGGCAATTGGTTCTTAATAGTAATATAACGTTATCAAACAAACCGCATGGGTTTGGTCGATATTTTGTTTTGTAGTACGACTCTGTACACTGACCTTATAATGAAAGTGCGTGGTCGGGTCCACTACGAACGACGAGCTCCAAAAACACTTGGACGACATTTTCTTCTCTAACTTTGCATCCGCCATTTTCGTCTCGAACCAATCCGGCCCGGTGGACCTTTCGTGCACCTTTCTCGAGCTGCCCCATTTATTCGACTGTACAAAAACAAAACGTAATTGGTTAGAGAAATATTATTACAATGATTTCATTCCGAATGTAAAACGGTTAGATTGTTACAATACGCTGGTCCATTCGTAACATTTATTCTCATCATTATTGTTTTCAACACATTCAAATATCCTTATTTGTATTTTTTTATTCCGTGGTATTATAATTTTTAACTATCTTTTAACGGTTTCTAGCACTATAAGTACAATATTTATTTCGAACACCTTTTAATACATATTAGTCCGATAAAATAAAACAAATCGTAACAAAATAAACATCTAAAAAAATGCCATTAAAAAAAACATTAATAATGTAAACTTAACTGAACGTTCTAATATTTTGTAACTGTAATATGAATATGAACATGAATTTGGAATATATTTTTGGTATTTTCTCCGTTAAAAATACACAATACAAAATAAAAAATAAATAAACTATATTTTATTATATCGTGAGTCCAGGTTATATTATATATAAGTGTACACCGAGATCGATATGATATTGAAAATGCAATAAATACTATATTCATTCTTTGTCAAAAACACACTATTATGTAATAGAAAGATTATCAGGGATAAATTATTTGTATTTTAAGCATTTACCGAAAATAGGATATAAAAACCACATATCGATAACTTTTTTAAATGTGAAATTGACAACTCGAATTGTGTTTTATTCGCCTAGAAAATTCTTCCCTTATAAATTAATTAAATATCTCGAATAATACATATCTCGAAGTGAATTTATAGCCCCTTTCAAACTTCGAGTTATCATGACTCGACTGTAATATATATATATATATATATTTTTTTTTATAAATACTAATTAGAACTAAAGAAATCTGAACGATATTTTGAATAAAATGTGTATGGATAATCATAAAAGCTATCTTACAGCTAAAGAAAGAAATTAAAGTATAATAATTATTACTGTAGTTTAAATTAACTGAACTGAATAAGTAGTCTTGATAAAAAAATTGTCAGTCTCAGACTCAGAGAAAGAAAATGAATGCATACACTGTCTTTTGATTGATATATTTTGATAGGAAAAATGTATATAATATTAATTCACGAATTAAAAAATAGAAAATATTTGTAGTTCCGTATTTTTAAAGATTTACCTGTGCACAATTGAATGAGACCATCAATTCAGTTTGGTGAATATGGGTTGCATAAAGGTTTACGTTTATAGTGTAAAATTGTATAAACTATTGCGTCAAACATTATTTGTATTTTTAACAGAGCCAGATTTAATATTTTCAGTTATATTAGTCGTTTTTCATAAATTACAACCGAATATTATAAAAATATGTTCACTATATTCAATGTTATTTACACATACAATATATAACTTTATTTGAATACTTCACATGGCCATCACATAATTTAGTAATATATTTGCGAAATAGAAAATGTTTGCAAAACCATGTAGGTAGAAATTAAAAGTGACTTGAAAGAGATTTGAACAAAGTTGACGTATTCAAACAACATTCAATAAAGAAGTGATAATGATAAATAAATTAAATAATTAAACAGATTTAAAATGAATCCAAAGTAAAAATATTGAATTATAAATTTGTTACTTTAGCAGAATATTACTGACATACGACAAAATCACGGAAGTATTATATAAAATATGTATATGTTATAATATTAACATAAATTTTATGTTAAAATTACGTTGAGTGAATAATTAAAAACATAAATTAAGTTAATTTACCTGGTTGGTTTTAGCAAATGTTGTGGTTCTAATTATTGATATTTTATATGAGTGTTTAAATGCTGAAAGTGTTGACAGATTTAATTATTCTAGTAGTCATAAAGAGAAGAGACACTGAAAAAATATATTTCTATAATTCATTGTTATCCTTACTTTATTTTTTTTTTTTTTTTTTATGCGATGATGATTATAGGAATAATTAAATAGTTAAACATATCTCTACATAATTATAGTAAATTGAAACTCAATCTTGAAGTTTTTTTTTATTAAATTATATATTTTTTTATTTTATTTTCACTGAATTAATTATAGCAAAGTATTTAGTTAAGAAGATATTTGTTGTTATTAATGAATATTCCTGTGTTATGCAAAACGCAATTGTTGTTTAAATCAATATTTTATTAAATAACTACATTTATGCATTTGACTATTTGATATGTTGAAACAATGGTTTAATTTATGTGAAACTCTTTAATATGTTATTTGAGTAATTTTCAGTTTATAGTTAAGGAAAATAATCCATTATTTGGCCATGTATTTAAAATCTAATATTCAGTTGGATAATTATGTATTCCTAAGATCGAGTACATTTAAAAATTCAGTGTATAATATAATATAAAAAATATTTAATTAGCAAAGAAATATACTTAAAAAAAAAAAAAAGGTTTACTTCAATATTTAGTATCTTATTCGAAATTCAGAAATTAGAGAAAATTTTGTTTTAAAATATTTTAAAGGAACTTATTTATATGAATGAATACATTTTTTACTTGGATGAAAACTAAATATTATATTTATTTATTATGTAAAATCAATGAATTTTATTGTTACGCAATAAATATAGAGAACTGCAAAGTAATATGGTGACATATTATAATATTTTAGAACTAGTAGCTTTATTCTTAAACTAACATCACATTAAATATCCATAAGTATATTAACACAGTTGATTCAAAGTAAATTTCTCTTCTTATAATTAGTTATTCATGAGCGTTGACCAATTATTAATGAAGATGACTGAATATTTTACTTATAAGTTTCATTCATCAATGATATTTTGATGACTCAGAATTTTAAGAATAAATCGTTTTTTTTTATTGGATTTATTATTCATTCACTATCGTTCACTCGAAACACTTTTATATGTAATCATTAAAAATACGTACATTACTGTTGCTGAACAAATATTATTTTTGCAAATTATTTAAACAACGTATTAACTTATCATTAAAGGACTTGTATTAAACTGCACAGATTAAAGTTTAACAGAGAAATTATTTTACATGGTAAAACGTAATACCTAATATAATATACTTAAACTGCAGCAAAAAAAAAAAAAAGTAACTCTTGTTCGGTAATCCTGTACTCGCTTAATTGAAACAGTGTATACTATTTTTCTATCTAGTTCTAAACATTTGATTTCGTTGTCGAATTCTCACAGTCCACTTAATGCGCAACGCATTTATTTACAGTAACATACAAACAAATACGTACAACAACACAAATGTAAACATTGTATGTCGACGTAATCGAATAGTCAGTAAATATACACAGTGAAAACGGTTTTCATCAAAACGCAAGCCCATTAGGAAAAATCTTGGCCAATATTTATTCGTTTTAGCGTGCAAAATCGCATAACGATCCCCCGTCCTTATAATGTACTTATCGCTATCGGATCTTCAACATAAGTTATTGCGTTCAATGTTCTCTTCTGTCGCAGTGAATAACATGTGTAGCGTGTACGCGGTGGCGTACTTAAAAGCAAGCGCATTCTCGCAGTGGCACATTTTCAGGGACGATAAATTTTAAAACGATATTCTCGAAACGAAGACCGTATCTAGAATTTTTTTTCGAGAGGGGTCCAAAACATGTATATTGTAATATCATTGGATTTAGATTTTAACTTTTCATATTTGGTTAAAAATAAGACAGAAGAAGATTTAATCTTCTTTTATTAAAATTAATATCATATGAAAATATGATATTATGACATAAAACTAAAAGCCGTCAATGATTAATTGGAGCTTAAGTTATTTTTTACTGAAAATATTTATGTTGGTATTAAAAATAAATAATTATTTTAAACATTCGTAAAATATTGAAATATAATATTATTATATATTCAAATATTGAATATGTCATACAGCCATTAGGAATATTTAGTAGACGACCGGCCGGTTATTATACAATTATTAAATTATCAATAAAAACGTATTATATTTTAAATAAAATAAAAAGAAAACTTTTTTTCATCAATATCGATTTGGCGAGTGCAAAAAGGAATGTTTTTAAAGGATATATATATTGCAGTATTGTAGTAGTTAAGAACTATCAAAAATAAATATGTGAAATATTAATATTATAAATATTAATTTTTGGCCACCTTTATTCAATTTTAGCACGGCGATATATTGCATAAATTACATTTTATGTATAAAACTCTAAGTACACGATGCGCACGCGAAGTAATAATACTCGTACGTTTCGGTTTTTCACAGGCCTACTGCTGCGCGTGGTGAACACGGTTACACTCCACTGCAGTTGTTGGGTATAATTCGGGAATGATCGAGAAGGTTCTCGATCGTTCTATATATGCGTCTGTATCATCGCGATAACAGTGGAATTTTCTAGACGCGATAAACCCCTTCCTTTCACTGACCTATACACATCGGCTTAACCTATACACGGGCCATCACTACCGGGTGTGTCGTGTCGTGTCGTTTTTCTTATGCGTTGGTTTCTGTTACCGCGTGATTATTTCGCATTACCTTGATATTATTACGTTACGTTGGTGGTTGCCACACAATGGCTTACTGTCGGCTGTTGCGTTGCCGCAGTGCATGGTTTACCATGTCATAATCTTTATTGTTGTTTATTTATTGATATGAAAATATTGTTGTTCGTTCATTGGTATTAATATATTGTAAACCATTACTTGTTTTTTTTTATTTAATATTAAAAATACATATGCGTAAGAAATTACGTATACAGTCCATATTTTATTGGAGCTCGTTTACTCCGATCAAATACACATGTTCGGGACCTCGCTCACACAGCAATAGCGGTCGGCGAGCTCGTGCAACAGCAGCACCGCATACGCGTAGGCGATTTGACGTTTTGGGAAATCGTTTGCAACACATTTCGAGACGCGCCACGAGACGCAATTAAGGAGCTGTCGGCGAAATTACACGCGTCGGTGATCGCGAGCAACAACAATTACCGTTCACGGGTAAACAATGTTCGAATCGTCCGTTGCGCGGAAAGCGTT